CCTACAACAGGGAGGGAGAAGGATTTTGGGGCAGATAGAGTCTTGTGTTGAGTGGCCCTGCAGAGCTTCCCTGAAGTGGGCCTTGGCAACCCCAGGGAAGGAGCTAAACCCTGGTGGAGGCAGCTTCCTCCTGCCGAGGGTGCTGCTGGGAAGAGAGATCACCTGTGAACCATCAGAAGCCCACACACCATCTGGGAGCTGTGGAATGAATCTCTCAGCTCTGGGGAGGTGGGAGGATATGCTTTCCTCCATGCTACACAGGAACAAACTGAGATGTGGAAAAGTTAGGTAACTCGCTTTAAAATTACACAGTAAGTAGACATCATTGCTCTGGCTCCAGAAGCAAGGCCTCCTATTACAGGTCTCCCCACTGTGTTTAAAGAACATACCAAAATGGTGTCCATACTGGCTCCTCAATCTATTTAAATTGCTTTGTTTGGGTACTGGAGACATCCATTCCCTCTGTGCTAGCAGCTCTAATCCCTTCAGTTACCCAAGAGCTATGTCAGCAGCTCTAAGTATCTTTGCAAGCAGCATCAGCCATGTGTCTGTTGGACTCTGGAAAGCTTTGACCTTCACAGATTAAAACCTTGACTCAGTGATGGAAAGCAAGGGTTTGCCTCTAGGAACCGTGTGGGTACTATAGTAATAGACGGAGCTAACACATGCAGACAAAAATTGTGCATAGCTTGGTCTCTGTACTCAACTGTTGAGGCTTGCTCACTGCTCTCTGCTTGAACCAGAAGCTGTACCTCTCCAAAAGCCCCAGTGTTAAGGATGTCTGCCCTAGAAGCTATACCAGGGAGAAGGGTGTCTTAACAGACATCCTCTTCTCAATAAATGACAGAGAGTGCATTGTGAGGAGGCATACAAGGAGCCATGGGGTAGTCTCTGGCCTTGATCTATCTACCATCCATTAAGAACTTAGCGAGGAGACCCATGATTAGCTAGATCTCCACATTCCACACTGTCCGTCTCTGTCAAACACAAGCTAACTCCAAGTTCCCCATCTTCTCTCCCTTTCCTGCTTATACTGTGTTGATGGCCATCTAAGGTTATGGCTATGCTTTTAGCTTCTATTTTTGCTCCTATTTAGCAAATGTGGAAATGGCATAAAGCCTTTAGCCCTGGGTCGCAGATGGTAAACAGTGGGCTGAGGAACTATACCAAGAACACAACACCACAGCACACACCCTGTCCCTGGGGCAAGCTCTGTCTCGTCAACAGTGACTGTCTTGTCCCCTCACCTTTCTCTCCACCAGCCACCAATTCTCCGGCAGTTTCTGTGGCTTCTTTCTGGACCCCTGGGGGTCAGTTTCAGGAGGAAAATGGTGCAATGCTCTAAAATCTGACTTGTAATTAGACAGACTTTGCTATCCAATAGGGGCATGGAAGTGCACCCATCCAATTAGAAATTGAAGATGTCTGAGAGGAAAGGTATGCCAGACTCAGATCTTCACATATACGTTCTAGATGTGTGGGCCGGAGCGTCTAAGTCATGAAACTAGAGAGGAACTATAAGAGGAAGGAAAGGAGATCATGGCGAAGAACGAAAAGGAAGGGAGGAAGGAAGGAAGGAAGGAAGGAAGGAAGGAAGGAAGGAAGGAAGGAAGGAAAAAGTACTGGATGTATGTGACATGAAAGGAGAATGAGGCCATTGGGGATGAAGGGGATGAGCTAGAAGGACAGAGGGGGGAAGTGTGGGTGAGGATCAATAAAAACAAAACCTGTATAAAAAATTCAATGATACCCGATTTAGTTTGTATGCTAACATGACAAAACACATAGAAGGTTAACACGACTAACAGGGCATATTACAAAGGCATTAAAATGGTTATATTTGAAAAAAATAGTTATGTTTGTTTAACTAAAACATAAAGAGAGGAGGTATATAATCCCTAAGTTGATGGGTTCCAGAGTTGGTTCAATTGTTAAAGAGCATTTACTGTTCTTACAGAGGACTAGGGTTCAGTTCTCAGTACCTACATGATGGTTTAAATCTGCCCACAACTCCAGCTCTGCATCTTACACCCTCCTCTGGTTTCTACAGGTATGGCACATACGTGGGACATACAAATATGTAGGCAAAAAAACGTACACATGTGAAATAAAATATAATAAAATTTACAATTCCTGCTAAGTTGGATTGGATACTGACTTCTCCAGGTTGAAGTAAAATAAGCATGAGTATTATTAGAGTAAGTTAGTAGACCTCTATAATCTGAACAATTCATTCCATATAAAATATAAATCCGCTTAAAACTAATAGCCATAAATGAACATGTGAGACCCCAAGAGGTAGAAATTTTGAGGCTCAAACATTTATTATAATCAGGCTACTTGAAACTGTCCTTGCATGGGTCCCCTAAAATATACTTAACCTGTCTTTGTCAAGTGGGGAACACTTGACATACTTCCAAGGGTATAGAAAGCAAATCATTACAGGTAATGTCTCCTTTGCTCACAATCACAGGCTGGGGACAGAAGCAGCCAGAAGAGACATCACTGAGGAAAGGAGAAAGCACAGCCACGCCTACAACAGACCAAGTGAGCAGAGTTCCTGTATGTGAGTACCCTATGCCCTCCCCTCCTGGCAAACACAATGGAAAACTGTAAGTGGCTTGGGTTGGTCAGGGCCTATCACGTAGAACTAGTTTTGAACTAGTAAGAATTCAAATGTTAGCTGGGCGGTGGAGGCGCACGCCTTTAATCCCAGCACTGATAAGGCAGAAGTGGGTGGATCTCTGTGAGTTCGAAGCCAGCCTCATGTACAGAACGAGCTCCAGTACAGGCTCCAAAGCTACAGAGAAACCCTGTCTCAAAACACACACACACACACACACACACACACACACACACACACACACACACAAGTCAAATGTTTTGTATATTCATATAAAAAGGAGGGAAAGGTCTGGAAAACAGAGCTGTAGAGCTGTACATGGGACTTTCGGTGGGCAGTGGGGGCCTATGGAGGAAGCAAACTGGTGAGCAGAGGCCAGTAGGCCTTTGGGACTATGAGCAGAGAACTGAGCAAGGAAATCTGTGGAAACAACCAGCGAGGCAGCGGCCTCTCTCTGAGACTCAACTGTCCTGGGAAGAAGGGGACCTGAGGGTTGAGTTTGGTTTTGTGTTTTTCCAAAAGAGGCCATGATGTTAAAAGGAATTCAAGAAAAATAAAAAAAGAGCTTCAGAAGGTTAACCTGGAATTTGAGTATTGGAGGGCCAGGCACTTCTGATAGGAAAGGACAATGTACCTCTGATGCAAATTTGGAATGAGAGAGGCAGGAAGTTTGGGCAGGGTAAAGTGGATCCAACAAAAAGAAAAACGGGAAGGTAGGAAGTGAGATTAAGCCAGAATACGATTTGGGTCTGTGAGAGGCTCTTTAAAGTACTTTCTGCCTATTGATGACCACATGAGTTCAATCCTAAGGCCCCAATGATGGAAGGAGAGAGCTGGCTCCAGAAAGTTGCCCTTTGACCCCTACACACGGTGCACATGACACCAACACATGCACACATTCATGCAAACAATATAAATAAAATGTTATAATTTTTTGAAATTTTTTGAAATGCCAGTAGACAAAAAATGAGGGGAGGAAATGGCATTGACAGCCAGAATAGATCAGGGAGGTGGCTTACAAAGCTATGTGCTAAGTCTGTCCTACTACTCTGATTCTGTGAGGTAGAATGGCCATACTGGGGCCTTAGTGTGAGTAGTAGATTAAACATGGATAGACATACACACCCCAGTTGATCCAACAGAGACACAAATGTCATTGCTTCCTTTTCTGACTATTCAACTTTCTCCCTCATAAAATCCCAAGACTGAAACAGGCACTTGACACTTTCTGACACAAGAGAGCTATGTCCACAATTCAAAATATTCAGACTAATGTGTCACCAAGAGGTGAACACAAAGGCCAGAACAGAGGGGACAGTGCCTCAAAGGCCTCTTCAATCTGAACTCAACATTTCTGCCTTCTCAGCATTCCAGTGCGCCTCTCTCTGATCATGTGATGAGATTGGCATGTGACCAGAGAGAGCACATCAGTTAAGGATACCCGCTGCTCCTCCAGAGAACCAGATCGGTTCCCAGCACCCACATGGCAGCTTATAGCCATCTGTAACTCTAGTTCCAGGGAATCTAATGCCCTCCTCTGGTCTCCACAGGCACCAGAAATAGATGTGGCACGTATGCGCACATGTAGGCGATGCATGTAAAACACTCATAAGATAAAAGATAAAGCTTGAAAACAAGAATATTCTTTCCAGCTCCCTGAAACCAGGTGCTTTTATAGAACTGTGTATTTTAGCAACAGCAACAAAGTCTTAAATGTCAATTCCCATGTCTGTAGGATGCTCCAATTTTATTGTTTAAGTAAATACACACACACACACACACACACACACACACACACACATCCTCCCTAAAATCCTTCTTACAAGGCAGCTTTTCTTCCACTCATTCAGACTTTGTTCAGTAGCACATGGCCAGCCAGGTTAGGAAGACAAGAAGGGATTAAGCTTCCAGTTTGGTTTCTCCTTTCAAATGGAACTTGAGCCTATAAAAATTTGTAGTGGGAGAGGAAGGTGGCAAAATGCATTTGCTTTTCTTGGATCAATCTGTGAGTCGGTGTGTGCTGTCAGAGGACATTATTCCTCCATTGGAAGTCACACTTCCTACACAACATGCAACACTCCGCCTTCTTTTCGCAGACCCAGGCAGGGTTCGAAATCTCTCCTGTGTTTTGTACTCAAGCCCGTGGTCCCCTGTTTGGGCTCCAAGAGTCTTTGTAAGAGAGCACTTAACAATCAGACACCCCAATAGCTAAGGAGAGTTCCTCCAAACTGAGTTCCTCAGAGCAAATTGCTAAATAACAGGGGAAGCCCAAGACTTACCAAACTTAAGGAAGATAGGCAGGGGACCCATGGTTAGTAAAGTGTCACATGGAAAAGCTCTCACATTCCTAATAATTTGGTTCCAGACACAAACTTACCAGATTAAGGAGCGTCAAGTACTTTGAACGTCCGCCATCGTGGAATTCCTTCAACTTCTCATCATCCTTTCCAATATGTGGGATGTAATAATTGAGGAAGAGGTACCAGTTCCAAACAAGGAAGTGATATACGCAAGTGGTTGTCTTCGTCATGGCTGCCGTGAATAGGAGCAGTGCCCTTGATCTCTGCTTTGCCTCTGAGTCCTGGGAGTCACAGCTGCTCTGTTCAGGCTGGAGAGCTGGAGAAACAGAACCCTCTGGGAATGAGTTTCAGAACAGGCTGGCTTTTGCTTCTCTCTTAGGCACCTTTTCTTAAGCGCTCGGGAGGAAAGCTTTTAGATAGCTGCTTTTAGATAACCGGATGGTTTGTACTTATTTCAAAACAGGGCTTTGGGGCGAACAGCAAACAAGAGCTGCACTTCGAACAGGGCACAGCCTGCCCAATGACCTGTTATAAATGTCATCTCAGTAAAAGGTCATGCCTCTGTTCTTCCTTTCCATTTGGTTAGAAAGGTCAGGGGTGGCAATGGTGTCTCTTCGAAGAACATGAAGAATAGGAGGTTCTCTTAAAGCAGGAAGTAGAGACTTGGGTGTGTTTATGGCTCCAGAAAAGATAAGGGAGTCAGGTGTAGTCATTCTACTTGTGAAACCTCTGAGGTATCGTCAAGCCTGAAACAGCCTTTGATCCCCAGGGACAGACTCAAGGGAGTCTCTATCTCCCCGCCCTTACTTACGCTGGAGAACAAAAGATGTCTAGACATTCCATCTGCATAGCATTTTTGTGCCCAGAAGGAAGAAACATCAGGAGATAGCTGTGGCCAGCATACCTGAATGTAGACAAGGCTGGAGGTGGGGGGTGGGGGGAGGAGAAACAAGGGCCTCTGCAGTGCCCTGGGGTGTTCAAGACATAATTGGATTGGGAGAGCAATGGACAGGACCCTACCTCTGCCGGAGCAGAAGGGGACTGGAGAACTGCAAGTGTCATGCCTTGTGACATCACCAGCTTGTTTCCCTGGGCAACTGCCTTGGAGGGTTAAGCAAACTCCTTTCGAAATGCCCCTGCAGTTGATGCTATTGGTGACTTCACTGAGAAAAAGAACTTTAAGGAGCTATGGGAACCCAGAGGAATCCAGAGCTAATCTATGAAAAGTCCACGGGATCAAACATTGGGACTCATAGGCAGGGGGAGAGTGGTCCTGAGTCAGCATATCTTCTGGGTAACCATTTCTTAGTCTTTTGGGAATGCTATAATGGAGTATTACAAAGTTGTAGGCGTATAAACAAATTTATTTCTCCTATTTTTAGAGGTGAGCTGTACAAGATAGGCACTGTCTGGTACAAGTTCATTTTCTAGTTAACATATGTAATCTTCTCACCGTGACCTCTCATGGGAAATGGGCAAAGCAGCTCTAGTGGATGACTTTGGGGCCAGAATCCTATCCGGGAAGGCTGTCTTTACATCCTTAGGACTTGCCTATAGCCTATACCTCTTAATACCCTCACTTTGAGAGTTGCGATTTCCCGGATGAATCTGGGTAAGGGCTGAACATTTAAAACAGAAAACCATTCACTATGGAAAGAGCAATCCAGGACATGGGGACAGTGCTCTGCAAAATTCCACCTAGGCTAACACTGCACATAATGATGGCATCCCCTGCTCCTACAGCACCTCTTGCTTAAGCATGGCTCCAAGTGCTTTATGTGCATCAGCTCTCTGAAAACTTTAGATACCATAATGATGTTAATGCTAAAATGGTGTGCTGCTGGGCAAGCAGGGAGGGTGCAGAGGGAGTCCACAAGTAAGCAGTGGATCTCTAGGGCACAGAGAAACCTTTGCCCTGCGTCCCTCATCCCTGCTGGCTCCCTCGCCAGTACTTCCTCTCCCCTAAGTGACTTTTACATATTTATTTTCTTAAATTCTCTCGACTGATCTCCAGTTAAGACCAGAGTTCAGTAAAGATTAGGCGAAGATGGGAGGGAGACGATAAAAACTCCTATCTCTGCTGTGTATTCAGACCCAGAGATGGGCCTCTGACTGCTAAACATTTGTCAATGAGACCTCTCATAGATATCGATGTATTTAAATGTGTTGGTACTATATTTAATATTTGTTTTGCGAATCCAACTAATTGTCAGCATTGAAAACAAGTAGAAGTGTGTATTACATGCATGTAAAAACTATGTAAACTTCCAAACTCAGTTTTTGCGTTTTCTAATAAAACTTGGCTCGAAACTATCACCCAAAGGAAATCTACATTAAAACCACATCTGTGCTACAATGTAATATTTCTACATGGACCATCAGGTCCACTTTCCTGGAGCAGTTCTGATAACTGCCCCCAGGTAAGATATCAGGTAGAGTTTTTGCTAATTTTCCCTGATGTTCTTGGTATGTCTAATTTTTGTTGCTGTTTGTTTTGTTTGTGAGACAGGGCCCCAGGTTGGCCTGGAACTCTATGTAGCTAAGGATGACAGTGAACATTTTAAATTTATGTTGTATGTGTATGAAGGGGGAGTACACTTGGATACATGGGTGTATCTCTGTACATATGGGTGTTGGAGACCAGAGGACAATCTTAAATGCCATCCTTTAGAAACATATCTACCTCATTTGGGTCAAGGTCTCTCATTAGCCTGGAACTCATCTATTAGGCTGGACTAGGTGGTCAGTGAATCCCCCAGAATCCTCTTGTCCTCACTGAATGAAAACAGGGAGGGCATGGATGCTCCTAGGGGGTTGAGGTTTTTATAACAGATGTAAGGGACAAGCCAGGCATTTGGGAGAGTCCAGAGTAAACATGACTGGCAAACTGAACTGAGCCATGCGAGGAGAGGAGAAAGCCAGGCGCCAAGAGGCAGGAGAACAGAAACCAAGAGAGGCTGCCAAGTGGCAAAGAGGCCAAGATGGCTGGTAACCAAAATGACTGAGGTTATAGGGAAGAGCAGCTGGGGAAGGGCAGCCCAGTGCAACCCTGGGTGGGGGAAGTTGAGGGGAAGGGAAGGGGCATGCCAGCCAGGAGGACCCTGTAATAAGTAGGGAGAACCTGGCTTCCAGCATCAAATCAGATATGTTAACAGGCACCCCCCAGGGAACCTTTGCTCTAGGTTAGAGACCCGACATCTGTATCCTGGTTCTAGGATCACAGCATGTACCACCATACCTAACATTTACATATGGGTGCTGGGGATTGAGCTCTGGTCCTTGTATTTTTCCAGCAAGTACTTTACCTGAGACATCTCCCTTGAGCATCTGCCTCTGCCTCCCAAGTGCCGAGGTTCTGGGCCACCATTCCTAATTTTTCTGTTAGGGATCAAACCCAGGGCCTACCTAGTGCATACTGGGCAAGGACTCTGATAACTAGTGCCCACTTACATTTTAACGAGCAATGGACATGTAGATTTATTTCTGATGATACAGAATTAGCTTTGTTATTTATACAATTACAAGAGATAATCAAGAATAGGAATCATACTATACATACATACATATACACATACATGTCACTTATCCCCAAAAATAATCACTGCAAGCTCTTTGCCAATAAACATGACTGCTTTGCTACGAAGTTAGAACTAAGGCAGGCCTGGTCTGCTCTTTGCAGACCTTTCTTCAAGAATTAGAAGCTGAGTTTTATATAGAGGAGGAAGGAAATAATTAAAATGTATTTCTAGGAACTGGCAGGATTCATTTTTAAGAGGAAACAATAAAGATACACACATAGCTATTTCAGGCTTCAAACATTGCACAGACAACCAGATTCACAAAAGTGCTTCCCTGCACTCTCAGGAGAACGGTGTGAGTTTTTAACTTAAATTCATACTGGTACTATCAAGTAAGTACGATTTGCCAGGAATTAACTAGGTCATGGGCATTTCTTTCTTAATTTTTGTTAGTTTCAAAACTTCATACATGAACACTGAATCTATGTCTCTCTCACCTTCCACCTCCAACTCTTTCAGTGACCCCTTCCCAAATTTATCATTCTCTCTCTCTCTCTCTCTCTCTCTCTCTCTCTCTCTCTCTCTCTCTCTCTCTCTCTCTCTCTCTCCTCTCTCTCTGGTTTCCAAGACAAGGTTTCTCTGTGAAGTCCTGGCTGTTCTGGAACTCATTGTGTAGATCAGGTTGGCCTTTAATTCACAGAGATCTGCCTGCCTCTGCCTCCCAAGTGCTAGGATTAAAGGTGTGTGCTGCCACCACCTAGCCATCATCTCTTGTCACATTATTATTGTTACAAGTATGACCTCCTGGGTCCATTTAGCTTTGCTTGTGTGTGAAGGTGTCCAGGGATGACCCACTGGGATTGGACAACCTGTGTGGGAGTGTCCCCCTGGAGGACTGACTCTCCAACTGTCAGCAGGCACTGGCCTCTTGAAGCTCCTCATTCATGGCTTTCTTTAGAAATAAGATCCAATCTCTGATCTCAGGAAGTGTACACATTAGGGAGCAGTATAGCGTGACTTCTAATTGGACTTGGTAATAAAAACCCATAGTCAGATACTAGGGGATGAAAACTGAAAGCTCAGAGAAGCAGAGCATCTAGCCACTAGAGCTCTTACCTCTACGAAATCCTCAAACCAAAAGGGGGTTGAGTTCCTGCCTCCTCCTGCCTTATAGTCCTCTCTCTGCCCAGCCATATCACTTCCTGTATCCACTAGTGCTGGGATTAAGAGTATGAGATCCCAAGTGCTCTAGCATCAAAGGTGTGAGCTCTGTTTTTCTTTTAGACTGGTTAAATCTTATGTAGCCCAGCGTGGCCTTGAACTCTTGATATTCCTGCTGCCACTTCCCAAATGCTGGGATTAAAGGTGTGTGCCACCACTGCTTGGACTCTGATCTTCAGGCAAGCTTTATTTTTAGAGCACAAACAAAGATAATATCACCACGGAGCAGAGACAGACTAAATGGGAATGAAAACAGGCCATTCATCTCCTGAATCGGGCTCCAAGCAGCCTCTCTTTCTACTCTTCCTGTAGATGCTCTTGCTGGGGAGAACTGCCTCCTCATTGATTTTTCCCTACTCTAGTTTTCTCCTTCAACACTCTTCTTCACAAGGCCAAGGAGGGGTACTTTGTGCAATGTCACAGTCATTCTTGATGTACATTCCATTCTGTATGAACGTCCCTTATGACATGATGCCTGTGTTCACTAGCTTTAGTGAACTGCCCTCTATTGCATGCCTTTGGATCTTTCCCCGTCCTCATCTTTTGCCTGCCATTGGATGCTCCTCTAAGAACAACAAAAGGACAGAACTTCCCATCTAAACCTGCCCAGGTTATCATTCATAGTCCCTGATGAGGTCAGCCTGTCCCTGAAGACTGACTGGTTATCTTAGACATACTCTCTGCGGCACAGCCTAGCAGTTTCCTTCTCCAGGAATT